GGTTTCGGGGTTAGGGTAGGTGGCGTGAGGAAGGTAGGTGTACGTGAGTGTGTGTCGAGAGACGCGTGTGTGTGTGTGTGTGTGTGTGTGTGTGTGTGTGTGTGTGTGTGTGTGTGTCCGTCCCCATCCGTGTCCGTCCATGTCCGTGTCCGTGTCCGTCCTGGGCCCTACTCCCACCCTCACCCTCAGGTTTGCAGACCCTGGTACATTTTTCCAGTTGGGGAGATATTAAAACAAGAAGGAAACATCTCAACAGAGGTCAAGAAATAAGACCTCTGGTCCCAGCTGGCCTTTAACAAGCTGTACCATCCTGGTGGGCTTCACTTTCGCTTTTTGGAATCACTGACTTCTCAGGTCCCTTTTCTCTGAGCTCCTCACGGAGTCTGTCCTAGGCAGTAGGCCTTCTGTCTCCTCCCATTATGGAATCTGAACCTGGTGGGGTCTGGAGAGGTGAGTGGGTGATCCAGTGGTCTAAGGAAGAAGGTGAGAACTAGCCCAGGGTGACTGGGTGGCAGCTAAGCCAAGTGAGAGTGGTTGAAAAGGTTGTGGGCAGCAGGCATCTGGGGGCAGGGTGGCCAGGTAGAGTTGGAGGATCTCCCTCAGAAGTGGTGGTGGGGTCTGACAAGGCTGAGCAGGGTAGATGGTGTTCAGAGGCCAACTGAATGGCTCACAACCCTTCTGCCCAACTCCTAGACCCCGCTAGGGGCTCAGGGTGGAAGCTGGAAGGGAGCAAAAGCCCTCATTCCTACCTATCTCCTCTCTCAGGGAGAGGAGCTGAGGACGGACAGTGAGGGCGGGAGCTGGCGGTGCCAGGCCCCAGGGAGCTGGGGAGCCAAGAGAGCTCTGAATGCTGTAATTCTCTGTGGAGGTGGCCAGGAGTCGCAGTCTCTTCTTTCCATGTGGGGTCTGTAGAAGTTGTGGGTTCCAAGGGGTGGCCTTGGGGAGCCAGGTCTCCGCAGGCCTCTGGGGCATCCCTGGGGGCCATGGCGGGAGCTTCTTTGGTCAGAGCCAGGGGTGCAGATCAGCAGATCACACTTGGGCCCTTCCCAGTAGCCTGGCCCTACTCCTCTTCTTCCTGCCAGCCTAGGGTTGTCTGCAGCGGAGGTACTGCCCTCTGGGGAGGACATTGGAGAGGAGGGGGCTCAGGGTCCCACAGGAGGCTGGGAGCAGGGGCCAGAGAATCCTGTCACTCTGCGAATCCCCAAAGTCTCAGCCCCTGAGGTTTCCTAGAGTGCTGATTGCTTCCTGTACTCCCTGCCAGGCCCAAAAGGACAGGAAGTGATAGAGGGAAATGAGAGTGCAACTGTGTGCGACACTGGTTGTGAGAGAAACTGAGTGGGACACTCTGTGGGTGACACTGTGTGGGGGGTGGATGTGCACATGAGGGAACAGGTAAAGCCTGTGTGTGTGTGTGTGTGTGTGTGTGTGTGTTTGAGACGACGTGTGAGGGAAACTGGATGTCACATTGTCTGTGACTTTGCCACATTCACGTGTGTGAGAGAAGCTGAGATGTCGTCTGTGTGTGACTGATCTGCAGGTAGAGGAGAGGGACTGTGAATGGCATTCTCAGTACGTGACTGTCTCTGCACGTGTGTGAGAGGGGCTGTGGGAGGACGTTCTCCGTGTGTGAGGGGCCATCCCACGGGAGGTGGTTATGAAAGAAACTGCTCAACCAACAGTGTGAGCCCGTGGGACACTGGGTGGGATTCTGATGCTCCACATGTGTGAGGGACCCTGCGATTGTGTGATGCTGTGTGTGTCCAAAGCAGAATGAGTGGCATTCTCTGTGATGTATGATGCTAGGTGTGTGTGAACAGCAAATGAGATGACCACTGGTTTATAGAAACAGATAGTCTGTGTGACTATATGTGACATCATGTATGAGAATAATAGTGACAGTTATGGTACATGTGTGCGTGTGTAAGGGAGAGACCATTGTGACACAGTGGACTATACCCAACACAGCACAGGAGTGCTGAGAAGCTGGAGTGTAAGCTGAGTGTGAAATCAAGTGTGTGGGTGAGACTGAGCACGAGAAAGAAACTCTGCACTGACTGGGCTGTTTGTGAGAGAAACTGTGGGGTGTGACGGCAACTGGCTCTGTGGGTGGTCACCATCTGAGGTTGTTTGGGACAGTGTGGGTGACATCCTTCAGGACTGTGGCCTACATGGCATGGGATACCGTATGTGATGAGTTTGGGGGCTTGTGACCCCTGCATGCATGTGGCGTCCATGTGGAGGACCGAAAAAAAGAAAACTATTAAAAACAAAGAAGGAATGTACTGCTGAACTGTGCACTTAAAAATGGTTAAAATGG